GGCAGAGAGTAGATGAGAGGGGCGGAGAGTAGCATTCGTGGCATACCAGCAATAAGGCTGAGTTTGATAAATGATTAAATGTACAATCAATTTCTGTCATTCAGTCCAACTCAAGTCTAAAATTTGGTTCCAACAACGCTCGCAATCCATATAGAGAGAAAACCACACAAAGTTTAACCAGTCTTGCTGGCAGTTTACCAAAATGAGACGTGGAATCGCTGCCGATCTTGCTTCGGACTCAAGAATGGCATTCACCAGTCCGTTTTAAATTACTGAAATATAATCTATAAATATGCATTTATTTTTTGTACTGTAGTGCATTGTATTTTCATAAATTATTCATGATGCTTTGGTAAAGTACAGATTGTACTCTGAAAGACGAAAAACGATCTTGGTCCGAAACAACAGATGGCCGTAATTAAAGAATATTTTATGCGTTGTCTTCCCGTCTGTGACTTACCAAAGTATCATATCATTTCCAAAATAAAAAATTATTTCTATCGAATTTCAAAGCAGCACCTCTTTTTTGCTGAAAGTTCCTGTCATGACATAGCATTAACGTTAATAACAACTATTTCTACTACCTTTTAAAAAATCAATTGTCAAAAAGGAACATTCCCTGATTTTAGTTGCACAAGGAGCAATCTACACTAAAGAATCAAATCAAACCACTACAAAACATTTCACTCCATCAAGCAAACACTAAATCAAAAAAAACATCCTGCACAACGAACCAACACTTACTCGAATCGCGTCTCTAATTTTATGAATGTCTGGTTTTTCTTCAGAGCTACTATCTAGATTCCTAAAAATCGAAATATCAGCATCATACTAAATGAAAGTATTTAAGTTAGTAGTTGAGATGCAAAGATGTAGAGAAACGTGTATTTAACCTAGCATCTGGATAATCATATACCACCAAACCGGTGTTCATCATACACTGATTATCGTGGCGTTCTAGCACACTGTCTAAAGGTGTCGACTGCGAACTGCAGGAGCATCAGTTAGGTTCTGAAGAAGAAGCAATCCGTGCTTTAACCACTAATTCCCCTGAGTAAAAGTCACAGAGGTTGTTCAGTCAGCAAAGGGACAGATGGATCCCGAGAGTGAGCAGAGGCCGAATGACTGACTGGCATTTCATATTTCCGATGTTCATAACCGAGTACCACGCTGAGGAAAAGAAATACGGTGAATATACTACGGAGCATTGTTTTCACACAGTTGTTGTTCATTCAAGACTGACGATATGGAAATGGCGAACAGCACTCCAACATCACGTTCATGAAAAGAAGGGTCCATGGAAAAATAGTTCCATGATAAAATTTTAACTACGTGGACGTTCTCACGGTTACAAACTTTCCTTTTTCTCATCTATCGTCAGAAATATAAAATTCGCCAAGGGAAGAATCGTATCTGACAGTAGTAGTAAGATTTGTGCGCGCTCTTCTGTTCCAAACTGGAAACGGAAGGTATGTATTCGATGGATGTCGGCCTTCCGTCATGATCATCGCAATCAACGGAGCTGATGGTGTGGCGTTTCTCGTTACCATGATGCTATCAATCAGGAGTGTCATATTTTATTTTGAGGGAAACAACTGAGTAAGGCGGCCAAAACAGCGGCACTCGTTTACGACAACGGAAAACTGAAATGTGAATGATCCGGCCGAGATTTGAAACCCCCTTCTTTCAACTGTACGTCGACTTTATCGAATAAACAAACCAACCCCTAAGAAATGCACAGTTAATGAATGTAAAAAAAATTTATAAAAAACATTCTCACGTTTATTACTTAAAGCAGCTCAATTAACAAAAATAAACCAGGCTATTTTACTGTCATATTTGATTGCTACTCAATACGAAAAAATCATTCGGATTTGTATTTAATTCACGATTGATAGGTTACCGAATAACATTTGCACATATGGGTGACTGCAATAAAATATCAATCATATTTGTACCTAACTGACAGTCAAACTCTATGGTTAAAACTATTCGATCGTTTGAATCGAATCGGTATCGAAAATCATCAGCTACTTAATAATGTCTGACCGACTGGACGATTGACCGGTTGCTAATTAAGCAATTATTCATGCTCTATGAAGTGGCAAGATCAATAATACCAGCGCAACCGTTACAAGATGTGCTATTGCTGCCTATGATATGAAGCAACTGACAGACCGACTGTTTAGTCTCAGTGGCGATCCATCGTTGTGACATCGTTGTCTTTAAAGTCATAACGGGTTTTTAGGGCATAGCTGACGAAACCAAAATGGTCAGCATTACGGTAATTGTAACTAATGTCACGTTAGCAAACCCAAGAGATCGGGTTATATTTTGTGCATAAATACGCCATCGGATTGTGGCATATTGCAGGTATCCGAACAGGCCCTGCCTAGTGATGCTGCTCTGCACACACCTACACTGAAGGTGCTCAAATACCAAGGAGCCGTGGCCTGCATAAATGGTCCCTTAGGCGACTAGAAGCAAGGGGACGGTGCTTATGCTGCTTCAATCCGGTATCGAAAACTAAAAAGGATTACGTTATTTAATGGCTCTTCTGGTTCCGTTAAGAAAGACCTGTTCGAAAGACTCTACCAGTACATATGCAATCAAAATTATTGCAAATAGACGACGTTTATACTCTAGAATCTGCGATGAAGATTAAGGTTCTTACACAACAGGCTTAATACGACTTTGAGTATGCATAAAAATACCCCAAGACTGTATCTCTAATTTCTTCGAATATGCCTGGCATGTAAAGCATAGAGATAAGAGAATTACAATCAAAAGGACCAAAAAGTAGATCAAATTATGTACAATAACAATCAAAAGGGGTGCTTAAATAAAGAATCAATAAACAGCTCTGCATATCGGTTTCAACGAAAGCAGATGAAAGGTGACTGACTTCGGCCATGAACGGTGGATCATGAATACAATAGTTCAAAGCTCTATGACACTGTTGACGAAAGCTTTATGAACATGTGATCAAGTGTTCATGCAACGGATAGTCTTGTGGCTTCTACATGCCGAAGAAGAATGTACCGTGGGTATCTCGTTTAATAAGAATGCCGAGAAACGCCACGCAGTTATTGTGTTCGTGTTCTTATGTAGTTATTCGTACTGATCATGGTTATTTAAGTAATCATGCAATATGTGAAATGATTAAGATTAATGATGCATGTATCATCGATTGATGAACATATCATCGATATATGATATCTTAACGTTCAGGTATGAGCTGAAGTTAATAGAGAGTTGAGGCATTAGATTCCGAACGATTCATGTAAGATTCACGTAATACTACTCAACATTGTGCATAATCAGCTACCGATCCAGCACCTAATTGATCGAGAAAGCCATCAGCTGATCAGCAGTTGCTTTCCTTTTGCTTAATCCCTTGTGAAGATCACTGATTTTAATTCAGGCGAAACTTTGGAATAGTTGTACATAAAAGTTCTTGGTGTTTCTGTTCTGCCTGCCACAGAATCAAAATACAAGCTGCATTCAAGTCCTCGCCAGCACGGTGTCGGTATGAGCCTTAATCCCGCGTCTTCCTCTGTCTCGCTTTCTCTACTCAAGAACCGTGCATAAGAACGCAGATCTTATAAAATACCGATGAAAGTAATACCGGTCATGCCTGAATCAACGTTGACTAACTGCCGATGGTACTAACTCCGTAAAATGATGCGAAATGAGAGCGAAAGCAAAAGCTTATTATTTGAACAAGATCGCTAAAACATGTTGTTTCTAAACACAGAACAAAGAAAATAAGTTTCTCTGAAGAAAAAAGCAAGCACATGAAACCAGAGACAAAACAAAGAATAAAACAGCCATAGCCGATTTACTGGCAAACAGCAGATCTGTCACCAACCTGAACCGATACATAAAATGCCCAACGTATGCTGCTCAGCCAGTGACTGGAGACAGTAACAAGGAATTGCAGACTTGAAACAAAGAAAACTGGACTTCACCACTGAAGGCTGATTACTGGAGTCAAAGAACTGAGTTAGTCAAATACCTGGAGCAATCATCTCACTGTTGCACTGAGCGGATAACCATAAACGAAGGAAAAATGCATCGATGCATGGAGATGTCAAAATCCCATCGAATCTTAGTCTGCTAAAATGGCAGCGTATGCATTTAAGACAACAGAGGCAATGAAAATATAACCCGAAATCCAGATATGTAGAAGAAATACTCTCGCTGACATAATGTCTTATATACAAGAGCCCTAACCATACTTGAAGCAAGTTCATACAGCTCAAGTTCATTTCCACATCACGACATCCATAAAAGCAAGACTGGCTTGAACAATGAAACACAAAACTTGCGGAAACTCCTCGTCGACCCATCAGGAGAAAAGCAAGATTAACATGGACATGGATGAAAACCGGTCACTGATGACCTTCATCCATGAACAGTTCAACAAGATAAACTGGAAGTTAAACAGGAATCAGAACCTAGAAGGAACAAATAAACAACAAAAGAAAATTTCTGAAACCGCAGTCTCATAATCAATCTGTACTATAAGAACATAACTGAGAGAATTAAACGCTTCATTATCAGGTGCTAGGTCATCAGTTGTAGTTTGTATATCGTGACACAAGTTATGCAGTGTGCCAGAGAAGAAAGACGACATACCAAAACATGAGGATACAAGGATGGCTTGTCGCATTTAATGTTATTGCAAAAGAGTGCTACATTTCAAGAACAGACAGAAAACACAAGAACTGGATTTGTAAACATATGGCTTGTCTGGCAGCAGATAAAAAAGAATTTCCCGTTGAAAAGCCCAACATACTACAGAAACACGTAGTACAATGGGAAACAAGCAGCATCGTTCACATGGAAGCCAACTGGAGAAATAAAAGTCTTGGAATCAGTCACGGTCTAAGAGACAGAAATCAACAGACAAGAAGAAACTTACAAAATTGGTCAAACTGGCTTCTTCAGTTATATGAATAAACCGTCAAGAAGTGTGCGCTATTTTGCCTCGCGTTTCTCGTTCCAAATTAATCACTACACTTATGACCTAATACGAGAAACATTCCAAAAAACAGACCCATCAACAAAAACAGATTTTTAGTCACCCAAAAAAACTGAAAGACAACTGAACCAGGTCTTAAATTGCAAACAAGTGTCTTGCCACTATATTAATATTAAATATTAATATATATTGCCATTATATTACTTCAAATATTTTTCAAATAGCCTATTATATTCCATAATAATTAACGACTAGAAACTTTAACTGAATAGCAGTGCATAGATCAGATTTAAACACTTATTTTAAGAAGCACATACAAGTTGGATAAGTTAACAGAGACATTGCATATTTCTGCTAATTTGGTGCTGCGGTCATTGCGAAGTTAACCTGCGAAGGGGTTTCGTTCTATGTAAAATAAGCACGGGAATGTCACATGGAGTGGTTCTTTCTAACAGTTCAATTCACTGACACTATGTGAAAATGCGCGGTAATAATATCATACGTGATTATACCACTGGCAACCTTATAACTGTTACTGTTTTTACTTAACCAGCACGTTTGTTATTCCAATCTGTTATGCTCATAATCGAAACGTTAAAGTTGCAACAAAAAACTTCTTGAGGATGACATGAGGAAGAGTTTTGGAATTCTAAAATTGACCGTCCGTTAGATGATACAGCATCGGCTATTTTAATTGAAACTTTTTCTATTTCTGAGTCAGCGAGTGAACTTTAAAACTGAAAGTGTACTTTTACTTACTTGAATATTTCGCCGAGCATGAAGTCAAGGGCCTGCAGACGTTGGAATAACTTCCGTCTGTCTGTCCATACCAGCAGCTCATGAGTCAATTCTGGCACTACAAGAAATGTACGCCAGCCGCGCCCCTTCTTCGACCGCAGTACGTCGCCAAATATATGATCACCGATGTAAATGACGTCGCGCCCTCTGGCACCGACTAGCTTCGAGAATACTTCGCACGACCCGCCGGCATAAACCTGGTCTTCATGCAACGGACCGGTGTGGATGCCGATTTTCAATGATCCGGTCTCCTACACACGAAGGACAAATTTATATCATGGGCAAGAGATCTACAACTCAAACAGAGAAGACTACTAAGCTCGTTTCCTTAGTCCATCAGGACAGCAGGTTCTCTTTTTTCATCAAGGTTTATTAATGGAATTAATTTTTGGATATATTTTGATTTTCATCGTGTTATATCATATACTCAAAATAAGTTCAAAAAGTAGCAAAAACTGCTGACCTCTGTGAGAATGCTCAAAAACCTCGTCACTGAAAAAAATAGCCACTTATAGCAGAGGCCAAAATCTTGCTAACCGCTGAAACTT